TTTTCCCTCTTTCAGACAGGAAATAAAAGAATTTGGCCTGCCCCAGGGGAGGTGGTGGTAAAAATTCTCTTAGAGGTCCCTAAATCCTACATACTTCCCTCTCCTTTCCCCAGATATCTGGTTTTACCATTATACTGAAACAGTGACCATTTTAGAAATTTGTAATTCACAGTCATAGAAAACAAAAATCTCCATCCAAAACAACTTCTACTCTCCACCAGGGATTGCTCACGGTTTGGTTTGTAGGCAGTGGTCTGACTTCATTTCTGCTTTATACTTTATATATTGTCCACTGAAAAACAACAACAGGAAAGAAATACCTGTCAGAAGAACACTTTGGTGTAGGACATGTAAATATAGAAACCAGCAAGCTGTGTGCTTGGCTCTCTGCTTTCCCCCTACTTCCCTTCTTAGCAAAAGGAAAAACAAGAGTGGTACCTTCAGGTCACATCCATCACATCAATCTTTTTAAAATATGGGGACCTGATCATCAGGTGAGATGTTGCCAGGTACTGGCAGCATAAAGACATAGTGATATTGTACCATAAATTCACATCATGTTTCTCTTCTCCAAGCTGGGCTGCAGGTCAGAAAGAACACTGGGTGCAAGAGTGCAGCAGTTTGTATTTACTAGCGGGTAATAACACAACCTGGACCACAGTGTGAGCTTATTTACATGGGTGTCAGCCCAGAGTAGCCTCTTGGTGCCACTGGATTTATACAAGATTTACACCCCTGCAACTAAGAGCAGAATTTGGCCCTAAATTATTGCAGTTAAAGACCCCATGTTTCTGAGTTGTGGAGCATTGTTTACACCCACATGAAATGGGTCGTAAAATGCCATTGCGCTGATTTGTTGGAGTGTTAGGCTCAATTTGCTCAGGTGTAAATAACTACCCGGTGGGTGGCATAATATTTGCATCCTGTAGCTTAAGGCGTTGCTGCCTGCTGCAAATCAGTCAGGCTTCAGGCTGCAGCATCCTCCTGGGAGCAGGATGGGTCTTCTGGCCTGGAGAAAGTGATGCAATAGCAGATTGCTAATGAGTGCAAGTTCATGGGGCGTGACATACATAGAATAAAATTGGAATATCTTGTGTATACTTCCATTATTTTTTTTCAGCTGAAATCTCGTGTGCTGATGACTCCTTTAGCAATCTCTCCGCCGAGAAGCACGCCAGAGCCCGATATTAGTTCAATCCCCCAGGATGCAGCTACGGTTCCCGACTCGGACACCCCACAGGCTCTCACAGGTACTCAGCTTCAAGTGCTCCTTGACCACGGGGTGAGCAGGAGCCACGGGCTGACAGCCAGATGTCACAGCCAGATGCTGGGCTTTCCAGAAGGGGGGAGCTCATGAAAATTGGGTGCTTGCAGATTAGTCTAGGGACCAGTGACAAGGAGCAGAGTTATCCTGCAACATTGTATTTTGACTGCCATGTGTTGAGTTTAGTGGAGATGTCAGTTCCATTCCTCTCGAAATGTGAACATCAAAAACCCATGAATGGTCCATTTTATACTTAACCTTCTTACCCCATCTAATATGCTGCAATGACCACCCTAAATCCCCGTGTGAACATGAAGCATCTGTTACAGCTGTGGTGAGAGGAACGGAGGAGCCATGGTCTGACTGTAGGCAGGGCTACCAGCACAAAAATCCCAGTGCCTTATCACAGCAGCAGGGGTGGTCATTTCCAAATGTAATCGGAAGACACAGCCTTACTCTTTATTTTTGTTTGTATTGTCAGAAGTGACATAGGTCAAGTCTTTTAAAGTGTTGTAAATGAGAAGAAAATCAACAAGACAGCTGATTTACCCTGAGATTTCAGCAGAGGAATGGATTAGATAACATTTGAATCTAAACACAACACATAAATCCCATTATTTCTTAGCTGGGATGCACAGAGGAGAAGTTTTCCATCTGCTCTGGTGGCAGAATGATACTAAACCTAGAGACAATGACAATAATATATTTTATTCTCATTTATCCCTTCACATGCAAAGTCTGCAAAGCACTTGGCAAACACCAGCTGAGTGGATGGAAGTGCCCTGAGAGGTGTGCCCAGGGCTGATTTTGGAGCAGGATAGGGGGGCATAGTCCACCAGCCCTGCCAGACCATTAGGGTGGCTGCAAAGGCAGGAGGTCCATGGGTCATTTCAGGCTCAGTGGTTTACTCAGGCAGTGCCCCATGCCTGTGCCCATCCTCATTCCACTGGCACCTTCCCTCCCAGCATCCTCCCAACAGTGCATGCAGGTCCCCATCAGAGCAGGGCTGGCAGGAGATGAAGGGAAGCTCAACTCAGCTTTTACCTCCCTCTCTGCTTTGCAAGGACTGTAGGGACCCTGGCTCCTCATTGGGGGACTCAGCACATTGCCTGCAAGCTGCAGAGTCCCTCCCACAGCTGAGCCCTGACAAAAGCAGTGGATTGTCACGCAAAAACTACATTCTGCAGATTTGTCAAGGTGTGGCAGTCTGGGAAAGCTGCGCTCTGACATCCCCCTGCAATTCCTGCATGCTGCTGCTGTATTTTCAGTGCACTATCCCTTTGTTTGTTTGGCATTTGGAAGGTGTGAAGTGGTATAATGATAAGTATGTTTGCTATTATCCTCCTGTTTACCCAGGATGTAGTGCTTGAGCCCCTTCTGCTGGTCCCTGCGAGATGGGGGAGCAGAGTGCACTGTGACAGTTGCACTAGATTTTCATTATGGTGATGCAAACTGTAAATTATTTCCAACTTTACACAGCTGTCATCATGTCCTCCACTCTGCTTGATGGCGTTTTTTTGTCACATATCTGATTTCTGTCAGAAGATAATGTTATATTGTTTGAGAGATGACAGCTCGAGCACACTCAGCCAGCTATTATAATATGTCTCACTTTAGCCTGACTTTAGGCTGTGTCTTAGTCGCCCTTAGTTACCACAGCGCTATCCCTGCTTCCCCTGAGATGCAGTTAGCCTCAGCCAAGCTTAGAATAAGTTCATGGTAGTGAGGAGAGCACTCATTTTTTTTGCTATTGCTTTGGCTGTTGTAGAAAAACTGCCTTTGCAGCTTATGAGAGTAGGCATGCAGGGCTTGGCTGTGGAGAGGCTGGGGCAGACTCGCTCACAGACCCCTGTGTGGCACAGTCATGTTGCTGCAGCCCCAAAATGCAGCACTGCACACCATGTACAGTTTCCCTCAACTTGATGCAGTTTGTAGAGTGTTAGGTTGGACGTGGAGGGTTAGGAAGCTCCCAGAGGCCAGATTCTCTGCCATGGCACTGTGCAACACAACCCTCCAGAAATTACAGCTGCATCAGAGTCAGAAGAAGCAAGGATCCAAAGCCTTTCCAAAAGTCATCTTAGAGCAGTGCTTCTCACAGCAGGTCTCAATGAACCAGTCTAAAAACAGAGGAAAATAAATAAACAACCTGAAAACACACCTCAGGCTGGCATTCCCTCCTTGCTGCTTAAGTCACCACTGGTAGTCAGTGTTCTGAACTCTCACCACATTTTTCTGGTCACAAGTTGCACGGACAAGGTAGACTCAAGAGAGCAGACCCCAGGCACGACACTGAGCTAGACCTAAATTCAGTTTCCTTTGCACTGGCAGTGAGTCATTAGCACAAGAAAGCCTGGCTCTGCCATCACAAATGGCAACAATTCACCAGCGAAGGAAGAACTTGGGAAATTAATAGAAATGTAGAATGCTAGCATTTCCTAGGATGCTCTCAGGACCATTTTGTAATAACCTTGTTGGGATTTCATGTCTACAGTCTGTATTTATGTCAACAAACAAGCGAACCTGGGGCCGTACCTCGACAGAAAAAAGGTGCAGCAGCTGCCAGAGCACTTTGGCCCGGAGCGGCCGGCGGTGGCCCTGCAGCAAGCAGTGCAAGCCTGCATCGACTGTGCACTGCAGCAGAAGGTGGTCTTCTCCCTCATCAGGCAGGGCTATGGAGGCGAGATGGTGTCAGGTAAAGCACGTTTGTAAGGGGCTTGTGGCCAGTAGAGGAGTGCTTGAAGTCTTAACATGTTCCCGAATCCTGACTGCCCTGGATGTCCTGTTCCCATCAGTGGGATGGCAACCAGCTTTGAATATCACTAATGTCTTTAAAATGAGCTGCTGCAGGAATCACCTTGGTGTCAGATGAAAGAATTACCCACTGTAAGGGGTATTGCAGTGGTGCTTCAGGTGAGGAACATGCACTGCAGAGTCTGCCTCTTGTCACTCTTTGGAGCAGTGCTGGGGCCAGGGCTGGGAGCTGCTTTCATGCAGCTGTTCAAGGATGGGCAGCAATGCCAGCCCACTTCATGGCACACATTGCACCACAAGTACACATGCATGCCTCGTGTGATGAGGGTGGCAAAACTGTGGAACAGGTTGCCTAGAGAGGTGCTGGATGCCCCAAACTCAGAGATATTCAAGGTCAGGTTGGATGGGTCTTGGAGCAACCTGTGCTAGCTGAAGATGTCCCTGCTCATTGCAGGAGGGTTGGACGAAGTGACCTGTAAATGTCCCTTCCAGCCAAAATCTTTCTAATTCTATGATTTTGTGTTTCTTGAAAGGACAGCTTTTATGGAGTTTAGCTGCTGGTGCGTCCCCTGCCCGCAGTTCATGAGCCAAACCTGCTCTCCACTGCAGGAATTGCAGAAGTCCCCAGCAATTCCCCATGCAGCAGGACTGCACACAGTCTACACCAATATTTCAGAGAGAATCAAAGGGGAGCTTTCCAGCAGCTCCTCATCTTCCCGCAGTGGCACTTCTTGCTGTGTCCTGATGAAACTCCCGTGTCCCACGATGAATCCCCTGGCCTGGTTCTCAGCGTGAACATGAACTTTTCTTCTATCACAGCAAGAGCTTTGTGTCACAACATTCTTTTGGCATATGGGATGCAGTGGGAACGAAACAATGATGGGAATATGGGAACAGCACTCTCCAATGAGCTGCTGCAGATGAGTCAGGCACGAACACAAAGCCAAGGATTGCAAGTCCAATCAGTTTCGCAGGGACTGCAGATGCTCAGCTGTGCCACTGGGACCTTCTTGTGTGGGAGCCTAGGCTCTGGCCCTCTGTGCAGCATATAAATCATGCTGCTTCCCTCTCCTCGAGTTCTCTGTAATCACAGGTGTGCCTTCCCTAAGGGACATCAGAAATACTCTGAAAATGATCCAGACTTGTTCACAGAAACACAAGACTGAAGCAATTCAGTGCAAAGCTTCATTTTTGCCTAGTTCTGTGCTACATATATGATTTTCATTACAATCAGGAGAGTCATATTATGCACCAAGCCTGCCAAACTCCTTGGTCTCAGTTCCTCTGAGCTGGCTCAGCTTCAGCTTCAGCTTCACCTGAACTAAAAGCACCTGGTTAACATTTCTCCCAATTTCATGCTTCTTCTAGTCATCAAAGAGGGGTGAATGGCCTCCTAGTCGTGGTGTGGCTCTGCAATTGCACCTCACTCCCAGCAGCACAGATGAGTTTTGTCATTTTCCAGTCTTCCCATGGCTTGGCTCACAGATGCTCAACCAGCTGTGGAGCATGATCCCTCACAGCAGCTCAGGCCAACAGGAAATCTGGGAAGTTATCCCCAGAATTATAAGTTTAATGTTGCAATTTTTTCTTGTTAGTAGTGATAGGACACTGTAAGATTGGGAAAGAACCTTCCAGGTGGAAGTGTTCAGGCAGCCATATCATGTTGTCCTCCCTGCAAACCTGTAGAAATTGAATGTGTCTTGCTACAACTGATCCCGGTGGGTCTGTGTTGACCCCTTCCCCCCTCCCATGGCTGAGACTTTATGCCCTTTTTGATTCCTGGCTAAATATATCCCCTGATAGGTTTATGCAGGAATTTTAATTGCTCTGTTCTTACCCTTAGATGTGTTTCGAACAGAGCCAGCCTCATCCTGCTAGGCTGAAATACACAGTTCCTTTCAGGTGAGGAAGATCACTGGGTCAGTGAAAGGAGTGCAGGTGCTTTGCCATGGTCCCACATAGCAGGATGGTGATGGCTGCAGTGCCACAGGGAAAATTTCTGTTCCCCAAACATCAGTGCGGTCTGCCTCTGCAATTCTGCAAGTGTGAATTCACCCTTCTTCGGCCTTGGTGACCAAAATGATGCCCATCAATCCATCTCAGGTTTCTCCAGAACTTTGTTTAGTGCCTTTAACCCTCCATTTTCTCTCTTGGAAATGTTTTGTTCCACACCTTCTGGAAATACATCTGAGTTTTTCATGACTGTGTCACCTTGCTGTTTTATGGGCATCTAGTAAGCCTGCATTATCATTTCTTTTCCCATCAGGTTTTTTTGAGCCTCTTCAATGAACTATGAATTTCTGTTTATTTTCCAGATTTTTTTTCAATCAATCAAATCAGTCAATCTCCCAGTCCTCTTCTCCACTGCTGATGTTTGCCAGCTTACAGCCTCCACAAAATTTTTTTGTGCCAGCACAGACTGTTGCTGGTTTCTCTCTGGGACTTGTGGTCTCCTGCCAGTAAACCCTCTTGTCATTTCTTGACCCACCCCTTGTATGCAATCATTTCCAATTTAATGAAAGATTTTTCATTCTTTACTGAATTCTGGATAGACCACAACTGCCAACATTCAACTGCCTATAAATGCAGTTAACTCAGTAAATAAAGATCAGTGATTCAGCTGTTACCTCTCTCTTCAGTACAATCCTGGTACTTTTCATTCATTCACAACCATGCCTTTAATTCTTATCTCCCCATTATCTTTTAAAACCTTGGGTACTGCTGAAGTCAGCCTAACAGCCCATCATTATTGGTGATCACTGCAGATCACTGTCTTTCTCCTTCCTTAGACCAAGGTATCATAATTGCCTCCTTCTTATCACACGATACAATTTTCAGATGGATGCATATATTAGAAAACCTTGTACTGCTGGCCATGCCAGTCAGCATCTTTCAGCTCTCCAGGGGGAAGGTGATCTAGATCACACAAACTCAGCTCCTTAAGCTCCTCTATTTTGATGTGTGCCTCAGGTAGGGTAATTTTCCAAAATATTTTAAGACATGCAAATACTTGAATAAAATTATTTCCCCTGCTCTCATTCTCCCTTGTGCCACGCATCCACAGGTATTGAATAGCTCCTGTTTTTCTTTCCAGTTTCAGCTTCTTTTGAGGGGAAGCAGCATTTCCAGAGCCTGCTGGTGGTGAACAGCATCGGGTATGTCCTGCGCTTCCTGAAGAAGCTGTGTCGCAGCCTGCTGTGTGACAATCTCTTCAGCAACCAGCCTTTCCAGCAGCACAGTGCTGTGACAGACAGCCCAGAGGGGTATGAAAACAGACAGATGGAGGCAGGTAGGCTGCTTGATCATCTCAGACTCAAAATCTAATACAGCTGAAGAAATTACTATCTGGGTTTTTTTTTGGTGCTGTGCTGTGTGTCACGGGGAACTGCAGGGCTCTGTGGGACCTTTCCAGAGGGAGGCAGTGAGCTTACTTGTGGGGTTTTCCCAGTGGCTGTAGAGGAGGTGCTCAGGTGAGAACCACCACGTTGAGAGAAGTTTTGGACCAGCATGTTATGTTAGCACAAACCTAAGGCACATATTAATATCTGTAGCACAGACAGCGTGGATCCCGATCTGCCACCTCCATCTGTGAGTATAAACCTAAATGAGCTGTAACTGCTAAGTGGTTTGCTTTGCTACTTGCAGGGATGTTTCTCCTAGCTTAAAACCTTCTGGGACCAGCAAGATCCCTGTCTTAGTGCTTGACCATGTGGGGCAAAGGCTGGAGGAGCTGTGGCATGAGGCAGATGCATCCAAGGATGGTGGTGGTCCTGAGGGGCACCTGGTCTCCCATATGGAAGCACTCCTGAGCTTCCTTCTTGCTCACGTTCTGGGACAGGGTGCTGGCCCCACACAGCCCCCATGGAGCTGGAACATGCCTGTAGCCCCATCTGCAATCAGAGGCTGGAAAGCTGCACTGGGGTCTTACCATGGCATTGCAAAACTAGTTTAGAAAAAAAGAAAGATGTAAATTATGGGCATGAGCCTTCATTTCACCTGCAGGCTTCCTCCTGACTTAAATTATTTTTCATTTTCTTTTATTAACAACACTGTAGGTGTTTGGGGAGAACACTATCTCTCATTCAGTTTAATGGCAGATCCATGCTGGCAGATGAGAGAAAAGAGTTTTAGTGTCCACAATCATGACTTTTGAATTACTTGTTCACCAAGAATACCCTCAGTGTGCGCTTTGCTCACTAAAGCAGGGAGAAGGCTGTGCACACGGTACAGAAATCATCTTTTTGTACAAAGAAATCCAGCTGCCACTGTTACACATAGGGGAAGAAAGGCAGGAGCCTTTCTGGAAAGCAGTATTTTTCTTTCCTCTCTGCTAGGACATTTGCAGCCAGCTGAATGCTTCTGAGAGGTCAAGGGATTTCTGTAGCACCGAGCGAGTCCAGCCCAGGAGGCCTGGCATTTGCGTTTTCATTTGCATTTTAATTTGCATGTACATTTGCATTTACTTTCTCACGGCAGGGCTATGTGTGAGAGAAGGCAATTCCACAACCAGAGTTTTTACGGTTGCTGTGACACTGAGCATCTCCCTTCCCACAAAATTCCAATGCAGATGTCCCTGACACCATCCTCACTTGATGTCCCCAAACACTGATGAGCAAAACACTATTTTTCCCTCAAACTAGACAAGAGATGTGGGTGTAGGCAAGGCTTCTTTCCTGGGTCTCCCACTGTGGGGTGGGGGGTGTGTGTGTGCAGTCAATAGCCTCCCAGAAGCAGCATGGGCTGGGCAGCCTGGGCTAGTCAGGTAGGTTTAGATTAGCTATGAGGAAGAAATTCTTTACTGTAAGAGTGGTGAGGGACTGAAATAGGTTGCCAGGAGAAGCCGTGGGTGCTCCACCCCTGGAAGGCCAGGTTGGATTGAGGCACTGAGTCTGTGTTTAATGCTGCATTGCCTAAATCTCCTTCCAGCATCTCTCTGCAGCAAGGTCAGCACGAAGGCTCCTCTGCTACACAGAGCAGAGACAGTTTCCCACAGTGCAATGAAAAGGAGGAGCTGTGCTGCAGATGAGTCTGTGGGGGCACCTGTTGGGATAAAACTCACATGAAAGGAGCAGGACCATAAAAAAGAACGACAGGAAGCCATGCAAAGCAGCCACACTTTTCATTGCTTCTGTTCCCCATCTTATGATTGAGATGTCCTTTCTTTTAAAATCATGTGCTTTTCAGCCCCTTTGCACCGATGAATCTAATCCATGTATTGACTTTGGTGCAGTTACTCTTGATTTACACTGGCAGAAGGGAGAGGAGAAGCCAGCATCGTGTCCAGTCATATTAATCCACCTACCCCATACAGGAGCCACCTTTTAACCTTGCCCCAAAGCACATGCCCCTAAGCCATAATTCACCTGTGCTCACAGCAAGTTGCCAGATGCTAATGGCTGTGTACAGGCCAGGTGGGATTTGTTGACATATGCATCTATCACCTACAACTGTGTTTTACATGCCTAGGAAGTGCACACTCATCAGGCTGTGCCTAGAGCTGGCCTCTGCAAAGAGCCTTGCTGGCTGTGAATTACTCTCCCTGCACCTGAGCCCCATGCTCTGCCTGTCTTGCCAAGGCCTCTCACCTGTCTCATGGCTCACATGGGACATTCCCCAGGGCTCTTTATCAGCTGTGAAGGGACTTTCTGGCTCATGGGAGTGATCTGTGGGGAGCAGCTGTGGGACGACTCCCAAGCCTTCATCTGGGAAATGCCCAGCTTCTGGTCTGCATTACAGCAAATCCTGAGATGTTACCTGTCACCACAGCACCTGGGTTCAAAGCACCTCTGGACCTGCACCCCAAAATTTTACACGGGAACAGCAGAGCAACTGGAGCTAAGATGATGGCAAGACTTGGGGGACCTGTGCAGAAAACTCTGTGAAGTGAGGCAGGGGCACTTAGGCACTTCCCTAAGCGATGGGAAGCCAACAGAGATTCTGTGAAGTGCCTCCACTCTGCATTCAGATTTCATGATTTATCTCATGCTCAGCTAATGGAGGCTTGGATGGGAGCATATGAAAGGTACATTTCTAGGACACCTACATGCTGTTGACATTCACCTATGAGATACTAGATTATTCTTCAAAGGAAACTATGTTTGCTAAAAAACTTCTGGCAAATCTCGTGTTCAGTACAAGAAAGCAAGAAGTTTCTCTTATGTGGGAAGCATGAAGTTTGATAAACATCTACTTTCCCTTTCAGTCAATCCTTTTCTTGCTCTTTCTGTCCCAAACCTTGGGGTTTGGCTGTTTTGTGCTGTTAGACAATTGATGTCTCCGTATAGAGCATGGCTGCATGTGGCTGCAGCAAAACTTTATGCAAGAACTTCGGTGGTATTTTTATCATGGGGGAAGATAGGAAGGTTTGTGAATAAGGTCCCCAGCCTTGCTGATCTTCACATGGCCAAGACAAATTTGGAAACATATATACCATATGGAGTTCCCTACCACTATCCATGGGAGAACAGCTTCTCTTCTCGTGACACTGACTGGAAGTAGGGATCTATATGGAGCAGAAGCACAGCAGGACACCTAGTGCCTCTGTAGGAAGGTGAGCTCTTCCTATCCACAAGCCCTTGAAAAGCTGGTATGGCAAGCACAATAACAATGCACAATAGGAGTGTGACTAAGTAGGCAAGACACTGGCCTGGGAACTGCATTTTTATAAGACACTTTCCCACTGACTATGTGGGCGAGCCACTCTTCCCTGCTGTGCCTTTATTTATGTGTCGAAGGAGAGCAATAATTCTTCCCAACATGTGCAAAGCCCTTCAAAACCAGCTAGGAAAAAAAGAATAATATGATAGAAAACCACATATTATTACAATCAATATTTTCTGTTGCAAGCACCAAATAAACAGCAGCTCAGAAGTTTGAAGCCCTCAGAGGATAAGAAAAATGTTGTCTTTCCCCTTTCTAGTACTATGACTTCTTTAATCTTGTCTTGTTGCATGCTATGAGGAACAGTGCTCCTGGCTTCTCAGCACACTCAGAATAAATGGCTTTTATGGCTATCAATAGCTTCAGAGGTCCTCAGCATTTAATTACCTGCAAAGGCCATTTATTGCCTCATATATTCCTCTACCATGATCATTATCCTTTAAACAATAAATAAAACATTAAGGTCACTCTTAAAGAGGGAGCAGAGACATCCAGCCACAACAAAGTATAATATAAAAAGTTTATATTGTCTTTGAGGCTTTTGGATTGATGGCAGAGCCTGCAGTACAGTTGATAAAGGCTGGGATAATTTCCTTCCTTCCTTCCTTCCTTCCTTCCTTCCTTCCTTCCTTCCTTCCTTCCTTCCTTCCTTCCTTCCTTCCTTCCTTCCT